GCCCAGCCGCTCCGGGCGACTCCGTGAGGCGGCGGGTTCAGCCCCCCTCACGCCCCCTCCTCCCCCGCTGCCGCCGCCGTCGTGGTAGGCGCCGCCCCGGTGTAAACAAGCCGGTCATGGGGGCGGCCGCTCTGCGCTGCCGGTGCCCCGGTCGGTCCGGTCCGGTTTGAGCCCCCCGCCCCGCCCCGGTGCGGGCCCGTCTCACGGGGCTTACCTGAGGCGCGGCCGCGGCGGGGCTCCGGGGCCGGACGCTGCGAGGCACCGGCGTCTTAACGGGAGGGGCGGCGGTGGCATAACCTGACGTAACCCCTTATGTAACGGCGGGGGTGACCCGCACCCCCCATCTCCAACCGCACCGGGATGGTCGGTGCCCCGGGGTGGAGGATCGGTGCACGGGGAGGGATGCCCCGGGGACGGGGGGGATGCCCCGGGAAGGAGGATCGGTGCACCGGGATGGGTGTCGGTGATCCCGCGGGGGGGATGCCCCGGGGAGGGGAGTGATGCACCAGGGAGGGGTAATGCCCCGGGGAGGAGGATCGGTGCCCCGGGATGGGTGTCGGTGACCCCGCGGGGGGGGATGCCCCGGGGACCGTGCAGCGGGAGAAGGGGGCACGGTGTACCGGCGGTAGCCACGTGGTGCAAGGAGGTCGGGGCACCGGGGCCGTGCAGTCGCACCGGGAAGGGCCGGGCACGGGGGTCGGGGCGGTTTGAGACCCCCCCACCCTCGGCAGCATTCGGGGGTCCCTCCCAGCCACCCTGCCGGGGACGGTCCGACTCCCCCATCCCGGGGCTCACCGGGGGTTTCCAGCTGGAAGTTCCCCGGGAAAGTCGCTGAGATCCCGGGGGCATGACCGGTGGGACGGGAAATGCATCGGCCACCAAAGGGGGGGGCACGGTGACTGCCGGGTGCCGGGACCCTGAGAGGCAGCAGTGTCCCCCCGGGGCTGGAGGGTGTCCCCCCGGGATGGCCGTGTCCCCCGTGACTGGGGTCCTGGCTCCCTGCAGGGCTGGTTTGGCCACAGGTGGTGTGGGATGGCCACGTCCCCACGCAGGGGGTCCTTGTCCCACACACCGTCCCCAAACTGTTCGTCACCCCCCCGGGCTGGGGACTTCACGTGCATCCATCCTCCCCGGGCGATGCGGGAGGGCTAATCCCAGCATCAGGGCTGCTGGGTTGGTGCTGCTGGGGGTGGGCAACTGGTGGCCTCCAGGGTTTGGGGCTTCACATGCCACTGTGCCACCCCCCAATGGGCTGGGAGAGGGTGAAAGGCAATAAAACAGGGTTTTTTTTTCCAGTTTTTTTCTCTCCACGTTTTTCTGCCCCCCACATGGGTGACATTAGTGGCAGGCACTCTGCTGGCGGTCAAGGAAAGCGTCTGCAGAGCCACTTTATGGAGGAGCTCGAAAAATTACTGGTTTCTTGACTCATTTCTGAGGCATGTGCCTTTCCGATCACACAGTCAGGCTGCATCATGCTGATCCCGCCCCCCCCGGAGGGGGATGGAGACCCCCAGAGCTACCAGCACCCAGTGTCTGGCATGTGGGGTGGGTGATGGCTCCCACTGTGGGGCTGACCCTGGGTGGCACAGCACAGGCTGCAGCCCCTGCAAGTGGTTTGAACTCAATTTGCTTTTAAATGGAGCCCATTTCACCTCCGGGGCTGGGGGATGTGGGGGCTGTGCCTCAATCCCCTGCTCCCTGTGCCGCTCTGCGGTGGGGGACAATGGCAGCGGCGTGACTCGTCATGGGCTCTGCTTTTTGTTCTGGCGTCGAGTGGCCACTTGTGCTTCCCCTGCCCACGCAGGGAGGTCACCGTGTGCCCGCACGTGTGCCCAACCCGGGCTGTGCGGTGACCTTGAGCTGCCACAGCATGATGCAGGCAGGGGCTGAATGGGCTCCCGGTCCCACGCCGCTGTTGTACCCTCTGCTGCATCCCCCGCAAGGGTGACCCCCTCTGCTCGGTGCTGCCCGCCTGGCACCTGCCTCCAGATCATCCCAGTGCAGCTACTGGATGTTTGTCCCAATGCTGTCGTGGACAATCAGAGAGGAGACCCCTGGGCTTAGTGTGCCCACCCCCAAAATTCTCCCCACAGAGCTGTTGGTGTCTCTCATGACCCACAAAATGCACCCAGTACATCCCTTGCCCTGCAGCCCGGCAGCAGCCGCAGGTGGCTCTTGCTGCCGTGCCCACATCTGCCTGCAAAAAGTCCACCTCCTGCCCGCCCGTGGCAGCCTGGTATCACTTTAGGGCCAGGAGGGAGAGTGAACATTTTAGGAGTTTCTAGAAAAAACATGTCCCACTGAATTAGGGTAAAGCTGATGGTGCTGGAGGAACCACAGTGGAGAGATTGGTTCCCTTGGGATGCTCCCACCGGCAGCACCAAGTTGTGGTCCCAGTGCCTGGGGACAGCCCAGCCGACTGGCATGGCCCTTCCTGCCTGTGGGGACAACTTCCCCCCATCTCGGGATGGGGAACCAGCCACCCTCGTGGCTGCGGAGCCCGAGGTGCCGTGTCTGGGCTGGGGGCGTCGGGGCAGAGCTGTGCCACTGCCGGGGGTGACGTTATCTGCCATTACCTCCCACTTGCTTTCGCGGGAGCCTGGTACGCACGCTCGTCCCCCTCCTCGCCGAACCCGCTTTTCACTCATGTAGTTAAGAAAAACTTAACTTTTCTATTACGGCACATTTCTCTTACCCAGGTGCTTAATTACCATTGTCCCAGGGAAATGTCAGCGTGACTCAGAGACAGTTTCCCATTAGGAAGCGGCAGATGAATATTAATTAAACTTGCTGGTGGGTGGGCTCGCTCCCAGCTCCTTTCCCAGGGGGACCCTCTTACCCCCACACCTGCCCGGACCACGACTGGCCCTGGGGAGGACCTTCTCACCCAGCTCAGTACATCCACAGCACACCGAGAAAATAAGGTGACTCCACTCTGGGGACAGGAGTAACTTGACCTCCCTCCTGGAGCAAAAAGAATCAACCCTGAGGAAGGAACCTTATTACAAATGACTTTTCTCTCTGTTCCTGCGGGGTTTGCTCCGTCTCCAGAAGCGCATCTCCCTCTGGTGCAATTACTGGGAGGTGGCTGCACCCCGGGGCTGTTGGGCTCCAAGGGGGTGCTGCAAGCAGGTCAGCTTTTGGGGTGGGGAGCTGGTGGCAGCCAAGGTCACCCTCATCCCCTCCATGCTCCGTGTCCCCAGCAGGCACTGGGCTTTGGGGCGATGCTGTTTCTCTCACCCAGGGACATGTCACGGCTCCTGAACAGAGCCATTTGCCCGTGTAACAGGTTGAACCGGGGAGGCTGGGCTTTAGGGATGGACTTGAGGTCTTAGGAGGGCTATTGGATGGGTTTGGTGTAAGAAATACTCCTCCCCACTGTGTCTGTGGTACCCACAGGACTGCTGGTCCTGGCAGCAAGGGTTAAACCTGCCTGGGGGCTGCCGGCAGCCCCCCGGCTGAGTGTGTCTGTGGTGGTTTGCAGCTGCGTTTTGTTCTCCTCCTCTTTGTTCTGTGTCTGCACAGCCCAGCACACCGCAGGGAGGGGAGACCGTGGCTGCCCTCTGCCCGTGCCCTCGTGGTGTCTGAGCCTCTGTCCCCCCTTGCCACAGCGCTGCTGCCTCCCGGGATGGGTCCCACAGGGGACATCTCCTCCGTCGACCCTGGGGAGATGCAGGATGCCCCTGCCCTTGCCTCACCCTGCTCCCTCAGTCCCTCTGAGCCTGGTCAGCCCCAGCCCAGGGGAGCCCAAATCCATCTCCAAGCAAAAGCCGTGGGGTCCCACGTGCTTTCTGGGGAGCAGAGCCTGGCACCCCAACCATGGGTGCTAGCAGAGGCGACCACCAGCCTTGGGGACAGGGGACTGTGGGCAGGCTGCTCTGCTTGCCCAGCTGCCTCTTCTGGGTGTCCCATGGAGGGTCCCAGCCATGCCAATGTCCCCCGTGCCCCTTGCCAACACCGGGAGGGCTCAGTCGGGGGCACTGGGTCCAGCAGCCGGTGTTCGAGCCGGGGAGAAAGGCAGGTTGCTGGGAAACATCCCTCTTGAGCTCCGATAAAAATAGCTCCATCTTCAAGGCGAGAGGACGGGCTGCGCTGCCGGCAGCGTGTGGGGTGTGCTCGTACCCACCGGGGCTGCAGGGGATGGGATGGGATGGGCTGGCCCCGGGGGGGGTCTGTGCCTTGGACCCCCCCAGCCCTATACCTCTGTCAGGTCACAGTGCAGGGGGATGGTGGTGCATGGGCTTGGGGGGTGCCCCATACTGCCCTCCTTCACCTCCGAATCACACTTGGAAATGTGTGCACAGGACTCAGGGCTGAAGTGGGCCCCCCCCCCCACTCCATTTGCCCTGTGGCTCATCTCTTTGGGTTTGTCCCCAGGAGGAGGGGGGACGGGGAGAGGGTGGTGGTGGGAAGCCCGGTGGGTCTGAGCCCCTTCAGGGGGGAGGTGGGGAGTTTCCCTGTGAGGGCTTTGCTGCCCAGCCACAGCCAGGCTGGGTGGACTGGGGGGGGGGGGACATCAGCCTTTCCAAGGACATGAAGACCCTCTCGCTCTTCCCAGCAGCTTCGGACGGGCTCACTCCTCTCCCCAGCATCACCACATGGACTGTGCCTCCCCCCAGCCTGAGTTGAGGGAGTCAGGGCTTCACCCCCTTATCCCCCCTTCCTTCTTGGGCAGGATTTGAATTTGGTGGGCAGGGGAAAATCACACCCCCGGCAGCCAAACTCCTCTGACACACAACTGGGACCCCATCCCAGTCCCCTGCCACCTCCTGTGTTTGGAGCAGGTGTTTTGGCCCCGAGGACAGAGGCTGTCGGGGGTCCCCGGTGATGGTGGGGCAGCGGGACATGCACCCCAGTCCCCGGGGTGGCCGGGGGGGCTGCGGGATGGCCCCGGCACGGCAGGAGAGCCTGCTCGGGAGGTGGTGAGGATGCTGCGGGGCTGATTATTCACAGCTTCCCTCGCCCCGATTGGCTCCGCGGCGGCGAGCGCAGCCGGGCCCCGCTGCAGGAGGAGACTCCGTGGCCATAAAAGCGGGCTGGGAGCCTGCGGGCGGCGAGTCCGGTGGGCACCCCCGGGCATCGCCTCAGGGCCACCAGCCAGAGTGGCCTTGCCACCGCCACCGATGACCGGCTCAGCCTGACACCCACGGAGGGACACCCCACCACCCCGTCCTGAGTCGGCGAAGCGGGTGCTCGGCGGGACGGGGAGCAGAGGCAGGTAGGGCTGCTTCCATGGCGAGGGCACAGCTTGGGGTATCACTCCTGCTCACCAAAGAGTGACTCTTTTTAAAAACAACCCCTGAAAGTGGCTTGTGGTCGGGCTGGTTGCGTTATTTTGAGAGGTTCCCAGCCGGCTGCAGGTGTTCCCCTCGTCCCTCGAGCGGTTTTGTAGCCCGTGCACTGCTCTCCAGAGCTCGGCTGGGGTTTGGTTCCATACCAATGCCACCTCTTCCACCCTTGCGGCAGGGACACCCGGGGCTCAGAGGGGCAAAAGGAGCTGGGGGAGAGGATGGGGGGAGGTTGCCGTCTCCCCCCACCAAGCAGCAGCAGCAGCGACCTCAGGGCTGGGTTTCGCTGCAATTCTCTTCCAAAAGTCGTCAGCTTTTTTGAGAAGCCTCATCCTGAAAGTGTTTCCAGGCGTCACCACTTTTAAAGGTGAGGAAAGGAACGGCTGGAAGGGGACGATTCTTCTCCACCAGAAATCTCTGCAGGGTCCTCACCTGCCCGAGTTAGACCTGTGTGGGAGGAGAGACCTGTTCAGCCTGGGAGAGCTGTTCACATCCCTCGCTAGAAATAATTGCAGGTTAATTGTGGTTGGGGGGGTTGGTTCTGGCACACACAGTCCCGATTCCCTGTCTCTCCTTGGGCTGCCAAGTCTGTCACTGTCCCCTGGGGTGCACGGATGGAGCTCGGGGCTTTTCCACTCGAGAGCAAAGCATGGGGACCAAAAACCAGAGTAGAAACAGGACAGGAGGAGAGGACCCTGGCAGATGCCCGACACAGGTAGGACGTGCTGAGGGTGGCTGCGGTGGCCGGGACCCACCGCTGGCATTGCCAGGCACTGTCACCATCCTAGCGAGGTGTTTCTGCAGGAGGGACGGCTTCAGAGCCTCAGGACTCCTCCAGGTAACGCAGGATCAAGCTCTAACTCTGCTTTTTTCTTCCTCTCTTTGTGTCCGTCTTTTCGCTTTTTTTTTTCCAAAGCCCTTTGTTTCTCTCCCCTTTTCCTGCCCCAATTTTACCGGTCCCCCCCTCCTCACTGCAGAAGCACGGGGAGTGCTGGGGGGGTATTTGTGGCACCTCCTGGACAAGGTAGGTTTCCAGCAGAGTGTCCCGGGGTGTCTGGTCATGGAGGGTCCTTGATTCCCTGAGTGCCACCAAGTCCCCCATTCTTCTCTTGCTAGCGGGGCTGCCGGCAGCAGAGGAGCGCGGCAGGGACAAGGGAGGGGAAGCTGGTGGGGAAAGCTGGGATGAATAGGTTTCCCAGCGGAGCTGCTGGGAAGCAGCCAGAGGTTTTTCTTGAGAGCTTCGTTCCTCTCAGTGCTGCAGCTGGCACCTACCTGCGCGGCTGGTGGCTCCTCGCTCATGAGGGCTGTCTCGGTGGTGGCGAGGCAATAAGGGACCCTCGCTGTGTCTCTGTGGTGAGGGCTGGCTTGAGGTCCCGCCGTGCTTGTGCCCATCCTGGGCATCTGCCCACCCCGGTGCCCACGGCTCTGCCAGGGCGAGTTGAGGGGATGCTCTTAGGGCGGCAGGGAGCCGGTGCGCGCTGCAGCCGAGGAATGCAGACAGCTTGACACACGATGGTGCAGATAATTCAAATTAAATTTTAATCTAGCATGAATTAATACTGTGGCATTAACATTTCTTCATCAGTGCCAATTACAGTACATTAGCAGATACTGCTGGAGAATACAATAGTCTCTAATATGCGTCATTCATGTGTAACAGATCCCTCTGGGTCATGCCTTTCCACCCCAGATAAAAGCAGCCAAGGAGGTTGGCGGGGGGGGGGCGCTTGTTGCCAGCGCACCCTTTTGGGATCAGCTCTTGCTGCCAGGGCTATTGTGGTCCCAGTGGCACCATGGTATCCCCTGGCACTGCAGCTGGGGCCAGCACTGGTCTCTCCAGCCTCACCTGGGGGGTTCTGGAGCGGCACCGGGCACTGCCGTTGGCACAGCCCCTCTCCCAGCCATTGCACGGTGTGTTCAGCCCTCTCTGGCCTCATCCACAGAGGCAAGATGCTCTGGCACAGCTGAAGGACTGCGATCACAGATTACAGGTAGGCTTCCACCCAAAATCTGGATTTTTTTCCCCCTCCCTCCTCCTGCACCAGCCCAGCAGAAGCGGCGGGTGGGAGGGAGGGGAGCCGGGGCTGCCCCAGTGCTTCAACCTGGGGTGAGACTGCACTGGGTGATGGCATCCTCCTGTCCCCTTCTGCCAGTGGCTCTGATTGTGGTGCTTTGCTTCCCCAAGGCCAAGGGGGAGAGGCTGTGATTCATCCCCCCCGCACCGCACAAATGTGGCGATCGCAATATTGCAGAGAAACTCAACGCGAAAGAAAAAAAAAAAGGGGGCTTTTCTTTCTAATGGTACAGAAGGAATGATAGGTGGGATGGGATGCCATGGGATACCATGGGATGGGATGACGGTCCCTGTCCCGAGGCCATTGGTGGCCCTGGGGGCCTGTCCGTGGCTCAGGGCTTGTGCCAACAACTGGGCTGCATCTGGGCTAAGGGATCGCATCCCATGGTGTCCCTGCTGGTCACTCCTGTCCTCTTCTCTCCCTGCCTGGGACCCAGGAGCAGCACCCAAAGGTGAGTCCCATGGGCACAGATCCTGGTGCATGTCCCCAGGAGCAGCCACGCAGGTGGAGGTGGCAGGTACCCCGCGCCGAGGGTGCCAGTGGGGTGGTGACAGGGTTCCTAGAGCCGGTGCGGGGAAGGTGACGGGCTCTGTGCTGTCTCTCCCTCCCCAGGCAGTGGCTGCGGGGTGAGATGGCGCGGCAGGCGCTGGCGCTGGCCCTCTGCCTCTCCATGGCCGCGGTGGCATCCGCCGACTGCATGACCCAGTGCTCCCTCTGCGCAGCCCAGACCCGTGGCACCGAGAGCAGCATCCAGCCCCTGGTGAGTGATGGCCCCAAGCAGCCATTACGGGGCGGGGCACAGCGGCGGGGGTGTCATGGGTGCCAGTGCATGGTTGGCAAAGTTTGGTGTGCCAGGGTGGTGGTCGTGGGCACTCCAGGGTGCTGGGAACGTGCAAGGTTTGGCTCTTTGCTGGGCTTGGTGGCATGGTGGGTATGGACCCTTGGGCTTGGGGTGGGGGCACCCCAGGAGTGGGGTGGGAGGAAGGCACAGGAGGGTCACCCCGAGCAGCGGGGTGATGCCGGTGGGTGCTCCGGTGCCGCTGTCTTGCAGATGTGCCTGTGGGAATGCCAGGGCTCCTCACCACCCGGCCCTGAGTGGGAGACCTGCAGGAAGGCGCTGGCACTCCTGGCCCCACTGGTGGCCCTGGCCGAAGGGCCAGACCCGTCCCCTCGGGAAGCAGAGGAGGGTGAGGAAGAGCTGGAGCAGGAGCTGGGTCCTGGGGAGCTGCCACCGGCGCCGGTCAAGCGCTACGGGGGCTTCATGAAGAAGATGATGGCCAAGGGGAAGCTGCTCTCCCTGCTGCGTGAGAACGCCCACAGCAAGGGCGGCCTCAGCAAGAAATTTGGGGGCTTCGGCCGCAAGCCAGGGGAGCGGGCGGCCCCCGAGGACTACCCGGGGCCAGGGCCAGCAGGTGATGGGGACGAGGAGCCCACGGGTGCCGGGGCTGAGGGGCAGGAGCTGGCGGAGCTGCACAAGCGTTACGGTGGCTTCATGCGCCGGATCCGGCCCAAGCTCAAGTGGGACAATCAGAAGCGCTACGGGGGCTTCCTGCGGCGGCAGTTCAAGGTGACCACGCGGTCGGATGAGGACCCCAGCGCCTACTCAGGGGAGGTCTTGGACCTATAGAGCCAGGTGTGGGACGGGTGGCACCACTGTCTCCAACGCTGCCAGCCCGGACCACGCCATCACCCCCATATCCCCATCCCCTGCCCATCCCGGCGTGGCCAGAATCATCCCTGCCTCACCCCCCCAGGGGACCACGGGTCTCCATCCCCAGTTTGTCCCTCTCTGGTTCACCTGCCCACCCCTTAGGGACCCTGTGCATTGAGAGGACAGTGCCACCCTTCCAGCTGATGGTGGTGTGGCTGTGGGTCCAGCCCCAGGGCTCCTGGGGGGGCAAATGGAGGGGGGGGGACATGTATTCTCCACCTTCCCATGGTGTGGAAGTGCAGCAGGGTCTGGAAACCATCACAGCTGATGTACAGGACAACGGTCTCTGAGCACCAGGAAGGATGAGCCAGGGCAGGATGAGTCCCTCTGGGCTGGTAGGTGGCCCGAGCAGCCAGCACGGCAGTGGGAGAGGCAGCGGGGCAGGGCTGGCACTGCGGCACCATCACCGGGGTGGGCAGCTGGCTGAGCACAGCCCCGACACCCCTCCCCAAATTCCACCTGTCCCAGCACCCGCCTGGTCCCTCCAGGCTTCCCCCTCAAAGAAGAACCCCCAAAGGCAGGGTCAGACCCCTCGCCCTGACCCCTGCTCCCCTCGCAGCCAATAAAAGGCAGATGCCAACGAAGCTGTGCCAGATGCTGAGTGTCCTCCATGGGGTGGACCACGCACGAAGGGACCACACACCCCCAAGGTGGGGCTGAGGGGTGGGCTGGGGGGCATGGGTGCCCAGGGTTGAGGCGCCAGCTGCAAGACCTGCAGGCAGCAGCAGTGATACCCTCCCCACGCCATGGGTGTTGAGGGGGATACGGGGCACCCACACACCCCATTGCTGCTGCCCCTGGAGCCATGCCCTGGGGGAGGTAGGGCCCCCCCCCCAGCCAAGCAAGGGCAGGGATGCTCAGCCCAGCCTAGGTGTGTGTGGGGTGCTGGTTGGGGACCTCCCGCAGCACAGGGCTCCCCAGTCACCCCCAGGGAAGGCTCCCTTGGGGAATTCCAGCAGCTGCCCTGGCCAGGAGGGGCCAGCCCTGCTGAGGGCAGTGACCAAACCGTTCCCTTCCTGCTCGCATTTTGGGAATGGCGTGACCCCGCCAGCAGCCAGTCAGTGCTGAGAAAGCCCAGCCTGGGCAGCACATTCCCTTTCAAACTTCTCCTTCATAACCTCACCTTCCTCCTGGCTCGGTGCAAGGGGAAGCTTCGGGCTCCAGGTCCTGGCCCCACACAGCTTGTGGGGGGTGGGAAAGCAGGGGGCGTCACTGCAGAGCACTGACATGCTCAGCTCACCCATGGCACAGGCTGCAGCTTGCTTGCACCCTGGTTTGGGCACTCCCAGGGAATGGGGGCACCTAAAGCTGCAGTGGGGCTGAGCAAGGAGAGCTAGCCAGACCCTGCCAGGGGGACCACCACCACAGCCCCCCTCCCAACCTCAACCTGCTGCCGCCTTCCTCCTCCTCCTCCTCTCTTCCCTCCCGCAGGGCTGTGCAGGATGAGGTGACCCCCCCCGGACTCCTCACTGCAGGACATGCAGCCCCCCACCCCACCATGCACCCCCACCGCAGGGGACAAGGTGACCGCCCCGAGCGCAGGGACACGCTGACGTGCGGGAGCAGCCACAGGACTTTTCACTTTTATTATAAAAAATATCTTGCAAGCAGAAAAGAAAAAAAAATGTACAAGCAGTCACGTTGTTATCAAAGACTCCCCAGCCCCCCCCCTCCTTGTCCCCCCCCTCCCCTGCCAGCAGCTGTGGGGCCAGCCCCATGTGTCCCCCACTGCTGCAGGAGCCAACGCAGGGTGCTGGCCCCGTGCGGTGGTCCAGGGAGACATGGAAGACACTCGTCCCCATGGGTGGACTGGGAGAAGCCTGCCTGGCCCCCACAGCAGAGTCTTGGTGGGGGGGGGTACGTGTGTAAGTCTCTTTTAAGGTCTAGGGGGTTTAGGGGTCTCCAGGGGGTTTAGGGGTCTTCACTGAGAACTCAGTCTTGATTTTGCACATCTTATTCTAGTGTTAAGTACACAGCAGTACACCCACGTACAACACAAAACATTGGGTTTAAGCTCTAAAAATTAACAGTTACATGTCAAAACAGTCAAAACATGTTACACAGTACCTGCGGGGAGCTCCCGGGGTGGGGAGGGAGGAATGGGGCTGGCGGGGGCACCCGCAGCCTGGACGGCGTGGAGCTGCACGCTTTGTACAAGCCTGGGGTAGCGCTGGTGGGTCCCGGTGTGGGGCAAGGCTGTGCAGAGGAAGATGAGGAGGAGGAGGAGGATGCTCCGTGCCGGAGAGCCGTACCTGGAGCCTCCCCTGGGCAGCAGGACTGGGGGGAAAGCCCATAGCAGGGGGGCTCGGCTCGCCAGCCTTCCCAGCCTCATTGGCCTTGGTGCGAGACTGAGGTCCCGCAGAAGGGACACTTGGGAAGAGAGAGGTGGACGCTCAGGTCCTTCCTTTAAAGCCAGAGTTTGTTTTCCAGGCGCCGTGGCAGAGCCCCAGAAGGCAGTGTGGGGGTCCTGGCTGGTCCCTGCAGGATCAGGGTGGCTGTGGGAAGCTGTGCAAGCCTGGCCAGGCAGTGGTATCCCCACAGGAGCGGGTGTGGAGGCACTGTCCTCATGTCTTCAGCCCAGCTAGAGCTTCCCGAGGAGCCACAGCTCTGTTGGCTTAACCCGCTGGCAGGCAAACCTGGCACATCGAGGCTGAGCAGCCCCCGTGGCTGTGGGGGGGGTGGAGGTCCTCAAGGGATGGAGCTGGCAGCCCCAGGACCAAGCTGCCCCCAAAAAATCAGGTCTTTGAGGATGGGAGCAGACCCCCACAGTATTGCAGGCTCTATTTCCACCCCAAAACGTGGGTACCGCAGCACGTCTTCACATCACGTGGTGCTTCCAAGAAAATCCTCCCGGGGAGGAGCAGGGCAGCTCCCCATGGGGCAGGGGGTCCCGACAGCCACTGCAGCCCTGCTCACTTCCTCGGAATCTGGACACTGGCGTACTCAGAGCCGGTCTCCTCGGGGTGCGGGGCCGGTCGCTTGGGCGCTTTGCTGAGGTGCACCATGTCCAGGTCGGCGTAGGTGAGGTTGTCATCGCCGTTGGGCGCCCGGTTGGTCTGGATGCAGGCATACTCTGACTGCTGGCTCATCTCCACCATCCGGCGGATGGACTTCTTCTCTTTCTCAAAGTTGAGGTCCGCGTAGGTCAGGTTGTTGGGGTCAGATTCCTGCGGGAGACAGCAAGAGTTCCTCACTCAGGAGGACCCACCCTATGCACCAAACCTAAAGCCTCACGCTTCTATCTAGCTGCAGCTTGACCTGGGACAGCTTGGTCTCTGCTTGTACCGGGTAAATGATGCCAGCAGCTGGCTGGGACAATCCCACAGCACTGCTTTACCCCATGGCTGCATCCTCAAATCAGCAGCCACTGCTGCCACTGACAAGGCTTCAGAGCCACCACTGCAATTCAAGAGCCACCCCATCCTGGTGGGAACGGGCAAGGGCCAGCCTGCCCAGCGATGCCCACGCGGGAGCTGGCAGAGGCTGGGAGGGATGGACAGATTGCTGCTGATCACGACTTTGCTCGTTAACTGCGTCACCAAATGCAAAACAACTCCACAAATAGCCTGGTTGGCTATCGCACAGCTGGTTCTCCAGGCAGCACAAACCCAGATTTTCCTGGGAGGAGGAGGAAGAGGAGGAGGAGAGGGGGCCGAAGGCAGAAAAGATGCCGGGAAGTGGCTATCCCAGCCCCGGGACAGCTTCTGCTCCCTTCTCCAGCCACAGCGTGGAGACACCGAGACGTTTCACAAGGGGAACCACCACCCTCCACTGGAGACACGGAGATGTTTCATGCTGGAACCACCACCCCGCAGCTCTGGTGCCTCCCGGCTGCTCCCCCTCCCCGGGTCCCAGGCTTGAGCAACACACCTGGGTAGTGGCCTCACTGCTCTTCTCTGGCTCATGTAACCTGAAAGGGGGAACAAAACACATCCAATTGACCAACTGCCCTGGTGCCTCTTCCCTAGCGATGGAGCTCTGGTGGGGGTTCAGATGCAAAACAAGGTTCTCGCAGAAGCACCCAGCAGGAGTCCTCGCTGGTGACTATTTGCTCACGTGCTGGTCCAGCTACATCTCTGCAGGCTGGAGACCCAGCTCCCACCCACTTGTTCAGCCTCCCCAAAACCCAAATGCTCGGGTAAAACGTCACCATGGGGGCAGAACCGCAGTCAGGGAGACCAGCAGAGCCTGCACTCCTGCCTTCCCTTTCACAACAAGCTTTGGGGGATCCAGCTCCATCCCAATCCCAAGGGACCCCCCCCCAGTTTGTGGGCTGGAGATGTCCAGCTCAGAGCACCTGTGGTTGTCTCGGTGACTAGAGGAGATCCACACTTACCTAGCGGACGGCGAGCTTTTCCCTGGAGGAAGAGAAATAGTTTAGGGAAGAAAGTTCAGGAAACAACATAACCCCCCTCCAGCTTCCCCAGGCACGTGAGCCCCCACGCAGAGAACGCTGCAGGAGCAGATACACATCTTTTCCCAGAGGCAAGTGCCTGCAGTTTCCTGGAGTTTCACTCCATTTACTGCAGGAGTGTTTTCGGGCAGAGGGCAGGAGGTGGTCAGACATTTTTTAGGGGCAAGGAACAAGCAGCACATTTGAGTCTGCTCCTGGCAGGCAGTGGCACGCAGTGCAACCAGGGAGAGCTCTCCCTGCAGCCTGCAAACAGCCTGGAGACCTCTGGTCCATCCTCCCCTTTGGGCAGGAGCTGCCAGCACACGGCCGTGAATTCAGAATCCAAGCACTGATGCTCGAGAGAGGAAGAAGAGGGTGAGGAGCAGGTGCTTCCCTGCCACGCACGTGGGATTCCTTACCCTTGCTCTGCTTCATCCGGATGAGGTAAAGGATTGCAGCCACCAGCAGGGCCAGCACAGTGCAGACCACTCCCACCACGATATAGATCACGAGCAAACTGCCTGAAACATGAATGCAAGAAGGTCACCACGGACCTGAAAACGCTGGTACCGACAGAGTCCCCGCAGCCTTACAGCTGGGGTTGGCTGGGTGATGCTGCAAGCACCGAGGACAACAGCTCAGTACCTGCCAGCATCACACCCCCCAGCCCCCGGTATGGGGATTTTGTGCCCTTGAACCAGATTCTGGTAGGACTTTCTCAGGGGGGTGATATCTTACAGCTCACTGGCAGAGGACCAATCCCAGTGGCTCTCACGCACCATTAGCTGCTGTGGACATGCTGTTCACTCCCTCCCTGTCCGGAGCAGCGATCCACAGGGTGGTCACCCTTTCCACAGGGACCTGGGCATCATGCACCACACGGCAGGTGAATGTGGACCCGTTCTTCTCCTCCATCGCTTTGACCTCCACCACGCTACTCAGCTGGAACAAGCCCTGGGACATCTCCACCGGTCGGGAGGTGTTCTGCAGGCTCATCTCCGTCCCATTCTCCAGCCAGGTGACATTCACGTTTCCTGGGTAAAACCCCTTCACGTGGCAGATGAATTTCACGGTTTTGTTCACCCCAACGGGGCTCGGTGGGTCAGCATCCACATGGACAATGGGAGAAACTGGGAAGAGAGGCAGTGCCTGGTGCCCAGCGTCCCCCGGCTCCGCTGCCGGTGGGGTGCCGTGTCCCTGCCCTGGGACCCCAGCCCCACGGGAGCTGGACACCCTGAGCAGTGGTTCCCCCCCAGCCCTCACCTCGCAGGGCTTGGCTGAGCTGGTACGTGCCCCTCAGTGGGGCTCTCAGCGTGAGGTGCTGCACCTCGCAGATGAGCTGTGAGCGGACATCTTCCTTCCGCAGCGTCATCGTCACCGTGCTGGACATGTTGTAGGAGGCTTTTGTCTGCCCGGGGGTGATCTGGGCTGGCTGAGCCGAGATGGAGGTCCGATTCTTGAACCATTTCACGCTGATGTCTTGAGGGAAGAACCCTCCGGCCGTGCAGGTGAAAGGCACCGATTCCCCCGGCCCCACTCTGCGGCCGGGCCCGGACACGACCGGGTGGGTGGGTTTGGCTGCAGGGAGAAGTGTGGGGCCATCAGAGTGGGCTCTGCCACCCCTGCCCAGCCCCGGGGCTGCAGGGAGAGGGGTCTCCCACAGGAGAGGGCATCCCACAGATGTGCCCAGGGATGGCCCACGGGACCCACTCCTGGGACCACCACCCACGCCCCTTCCCCATCCTCACAGGCCCCGAGCAGAGCCCACCAGGCTGGGCTGGGCTGTGCTGGGAGCAGCACCCGGCAGGGCTGGTTCCCATCAGGAGCTGCCCTGGGAGCCCCACTCACCAAGTACAGACACCTCTGTGCCTTTTCCACGCCGAAACAGCTCCTCACCATCCGGGAATAATTTCTGGAACTTCACACAGTAATAGGTGCCGGCATCCTCGGGTTGAACATCCCTGATGTGGATGCTGAAGTCTGTTTCAGACTCATCCACTGCCCTCGTCACGCGGGGGAAGGAGCCTGTCTGGCCATAGATGGTCTGGTTCTCACTGCCCCAGCCCTTCAGCCACTTCATGGAGCCAGGGGGACCACCAGGGGACACGGTGCAGGTCAGGGTGAGCGTCTCTCCAGCTTCCATTGACACCTTGTCCTGGGGCTGCTGCAGCTCAAAGCCCTGAGTCACCTGGGCACCCGCACCTGGGGAAAAAACAGACAGAGCCTAAGCTGGGCACTGCCCCCCCAGCCCAGCTCCCCACCATCCCGTCCTGGCCATGGGACAGGCTGCACACACAGCATAGACCATGGGTGATGGGGCTGTGCCAGCAGCTGGCCACGTATCGTGCTCCGTACAGCTAAAAAACCTCGAGCAAACGCCCGCTGCCCACGCCTGCCGGCGCAGCGTGCTGCCTCCCAGGGCTGCTCAGCTTCGTCAGTCAGAAGGAAGCGAGGGCACGAAGACACTCCAAAAAGCAAGCTCCCCCTTTGCAGACGCGTTTTCTGCTCCCAGCCTGTCCCATTTCTGCACCGAATCCAAGCCCCGCTGCGCCCAGCGGAGCACAGCCATTACCCGAAGCCAGCGCCAGTCAGGCAGCAGCCATTCCTGCTCCTCACCGACAGAGGAGAGCAGTTCCCTTCGAAGCCTCTCGGTAACAAGGCTCCCTGACCCAGCCGACCGTGTTGCATCTCCCAGCACCAACAGAAAGCCGCCATCCGAAGCACCCCCTCCCCTACGCACCCCATGGGTGCCCATGCTCCTTCCCCCATGCACAGCCAGGCAGGGAGAAACCCCTGAGGTCTCCAGGAAAACCACAGGGGCTCTGCTCTCTGCAGGCAATATTAAAAATCCACCTTGGGTGGACCCACAGCCAGCACCAGGGGGGTCTGAGCTCATTGCCGTGCAGGAGAGATGCTCCAGGAGCCAGCTGGCTCAGCCCCGTGGTACCCAGTGATGCTGCTGCTCCCTAAAACCAGCTGGAGCAGCAGAGACAGCCACCCCGTAGCCTGTGCATCTCATCAAGGGATTCATTTTGGGAACACCAGGCCGATAGAGTTACTGCGACTGAATCGAACGAGATTTCAATCCAGGTCACTGCTTGAAGGAACATTTTTAAGCAACGCGGGAGCAAGGTGGGAGAATGACCTAAAATCTGCCTGCTGATAACAGGGGCCAGGCACTGCTGACTGCTGCAGTCCCAGAGCTGGCAAGTGGCACCCAGAAAGGGTGTCGGGGTCATGCAGGGACCCCCATATGTTTGAGCAGGTAACTCCTGCCCCACAGCTGAGCGGTGCTGGGAGCTCATGGACCATCATCCCGGGAGGACTGGAGCTGCATCAGCATAGCCAGCTCTTCAGTCTCGCTGGCAGGGGGGCTCCAGCTGCACCCCACATCTCTCATACCAGAATAACCCAGGGCAGTGACTCCTGTGAAGGCTGCCCTTGGTAGCCCCACAGCCTCCCCCACTGTAACTGTCCCCAGGATGGGACAAAATCCTTGGCTGGAGGCTCCCAGGAGGACCTGCTGTAGGACAAGCTGCTCTAACCTCTCCCGGCCATGGCTGGCTCCCACCGAGCCTGGAGAGGATTTTTGGCAGCTGTTAATCCCTTCTGACTTCCAGGGGTATTGAGCGTATCCACAGATGTTCTCACTCTCTGCGCAAACACTCGATCTTGATGGCCAGAGTTACCAGGAGCACGGTTTCTCCAGATTCCTCAAGTTAACAGCTTTTTGCCCAGGGCATCAGTCCGCTGCATCCCCAGCACAGGCTGATGCTCCCAACTGAAAGCTTCAGCCCTTCAAAGGGCTATGTCTTCCTTCAAAGTCACATCATGGCCAATGCCATAGCAGTGCTCGACACCGAAACAAGTTTGTCCCAGAAGACAAGCGAGGAAGGACAGAAACCTGGTTTGCATCATGTCCTGTATCATCCAGGCTGAGCCTTGGTCTTGCATCTGAGCAGCGATGGTCTGGGCTTCTGTGAGGTGAGCCCGTGTTTCTTGGGTGACACCTGAATCCAGAGGAGCAGCCCCGGAGCAGAACCCCCCATGTGCAGAGCACAGCAGTGACACAGGGCACGCAGCGCCAGCTCCACTGCTGCAGCATCTCCTGAGCTTCTCCATCGCCTGCTGCCCCCGGACCTTTCGCAAGAGGTGGTTGAGAAATGTGTAGAGGAAGTTCAGAAGCACAGAAGCATCACCCGCCTCTTGCTAAGCACCTGCATGGGGACGTGACACAGGGAGGGGACCAGGCTGCCCTGGGCACAGGGACCTGGCACCCCCAGACACCCACTGCACAGACCCCCAGGCCCATTTGGATGCCCAGGGCGGCCACTTTGCTAATTGCTCGCTCCACCAAGTTGGACAAATGAAGCCACGTTGCCTCCCCACTCATTAGGGGGTGGCGTTGCAACACAGCAAGGGCCATGGGAAGCAGGGGGTCAGCAACCAGGTCCCCTCCCTGCCACAGGGGCTCTGCACCCCATGATGAAGATGTTCCTCACCACTCCCCTCTATGGTCCTGCCCAAGAGACCGCTGCAGGGTGGTGGCTCCCCATCTCCCCTGGAGGGTCCCCCACACCACAGGGGGCTGCTCTGCTCAGAGGGGCCAGCACCACCTCGCCGAGGCGAGCCCAGCCCAGCCTGCAGCGAGCCCAGCGCTTCCTCTTCATCCTCCCTCTCTCCATCTGTCCATCTCCCTGCAAGGCACACGCTGTACCAGAGGGGAGAGAGCTGGGGAAAAGCACCTGCTTTGGGGTCCAGGAGCTGACCCCAACACCAGAGCATGGTCAGGGCGAGCAGGAGCTCAGCTCCAAAGTTCATTTCTTGGTTGCAGTGATGGGATCTCAGCGCAGCATCCACAAAAGCACTGGGCAGTTAAACTGAGCACGGGCTAGGCTGTAGCTCACTGCCACCTCGGCACAACACTCCTGCCTTCCTGGGGACATGGAGAAGCAGAGACAAACCCCCAAGAGCCCAGATTTCCAGCCGGGTTGGCGACGGTCTCTGTGCATCTCACCCCGCCAAACCCACATCACCCCCTCGCCAGGCAGCAGCGTGTGAGCCCCCTGCAAGGAAGGACCTACAGGCAGGGCACTCGCTGTTGTCCAGTGACAGGCAGCCAGAGGTGCTGCTGCTGCAGGGCCACCACTCCACGGGGCTTTTCTGATGATGTTGCTACTCCCAAAGTCGTCCCAACAGCAGCCAGAGAACAAAGAGCTTCATGCTACCTCCAGTGCCACTTCCCTGGCAGCCCTCAGTCTCTTGGTCACTGCAGAAAACACCGCATGGCTCCAAGGAGACTCTCAGATAGGGCTAAAATGTGGCTTTTTGGTATTTTTCCATATGTTCTGCTGTGAGCTACTTTAGAGACTTTCACACGCGGCTCTGCTGGGCCGGTGCTCCCATTCACCCCATCCAGGGTTTGCAGGACATCCTGCAAACATCCTGTCCCTGCACACCACCCAGGGTTTGCAGGACACCTATCATACAAGGGCTTCAGCCATGCTATGCCCTGTGAACACCGCGCTGCCTTAACAAGACCTGCTCACACCTCCTACCCAAGGGGTCCTGGCCAGACCACCCAACTTCTCCAACTGCTTACCCCACACCAGGACCAACCTGACTCATTGTGTGCTCAGAAACACCTTCAAACTCCAGCAGCAGCCTGCAGAGCAGTGCCCCCACCCCCCCTGCCATGGGAAAACACAAAGGGGAAGTTGATAGAAAACCCCAGAATATGCAAGTTAGAAAAATGCAAAGTTTCCACTGAAGCTTCTCTCCTCCCTTCCCCCTGAACGCAGCTTCTCCTTGCACCCAGGAGATGATGTCTCTCTTCTCCTTTCCCTTTCTTGGTGCTCATCCCGAGGAGCGGTGGGGCCAGGAGCCTGGCTAAGCCCTCTCCCAGCGGGTATTTGCCAGCAGCACACGTGAGACCCGGACCCTCACGACATGTTGGTGCACCAAAAGCGGGGTGCAGGGTGTCTTCGTGCTGCAAACACGTGGGACACACCACGATTTCTCACCACAAGCACCGGTTCAGCACAGACCCACTTCCCACCCGCACACTCACTGTGCCACCCAACCATACTATTTTCTTAAGACTTCGATTTCAAACCACCTGAAGTCGGAGCGCAACCCTTTTTGCCACCAAGATCAAGGGGAGTCCAGGTGCTGCAATCCTGTAATCTGCTTTACCCTACGCTCCAGAATGAGCAAAGTGTTTTAGAGCCCCAAAATATCATCACCTGACAACTCCCACATAGGTAGAACACCCTCTCAATGCAGACCCAGAGCACTCCCAGCCCAGAGAAGAGGCACGAGCACAGGCATTGGGCTGTGCCTGGTCTGGCAGAGCCCCCCTCCTCTTATTCGGTTTGATCCCGATATTCATTTAAAGTTGAGAGCAAAATAATCCCCAGCTCTCCTGCTGCAGTGCAAGTTTTCCATCGCGGTGACACATTTTTTTTTTTTCTTTTCTATATTCCACCTTTTGAAGTATTTGATACCGAACAGATTGCAAGAGGCCGGGGTTTAATTCAGGAGAGGCTGCTTGGATGCTTCCTGATAAAAATAGATTTTTTTCCCCTTCCGAAGGAGCCAGTTAAGGAGCTCCGGGATGGCGAGGGAAGGGCTGTGTGCTCCAGAAGCAAAGTGCAGCTGGTCCCTGGCATCCAGAGCCCCATGGTCACTCGCTGAAGGAACGGGCCGACGGGCAAGAGAAGCCCCAAAATAATCCTGTTGGAATTTCACCTGCAGCAGGGCTGCCCGTGGGGGGGGAAACTTAACAGGTGCTGCCTATAAAAAGGGCCTGGAATCTGCAGTTCGGGGGAAGACACGAGAAAAGAGACCCTGGGGTAGCTGCTGAGAGCTATGCAGATCCCAGAGCGGCTCAGGGACGCTTATAGTAAAGGCTATATTTTACATACGTGACATCAGAGGAAGCCTCGGATCACACGCAGCCACCATTTGCAAGCTTCCCTCCTACAGCATTAGCAGAAATTCAGCTTGAAAGCCAGAGCCCCCACGACCAAACAGATTTCCTCTTTAGAGCAGGCTCCGGGAAGCGCAGCCCAAACCCTCCGTTGAGAAACGCCTGCACAGCAAGGTTTTTTGCACGGCACAGATTTTGCAACGGGGCTTTGCAATCCGGCTTCCCAGCATCTCGCTCCTCTTTGCCCTACAGGAAGATCTCCTGCAGGATCTTCCCTTTTCCCTTTTGCTTCTGCAGAAGCGCCGTCGGAGCAGCCGCTTTCCGGCAGTGGGAGCCTGGGCCAGATCTTCTGGAGTTCAGGTTTGGTTCGAGCTGTGGCCCAGGAGGGTTCACCACAGGGTCTCCACCACATGGAAAGAAAAGAATTTAAAGATCTGCATGCTCAAACCTGAAATCAGGGACGCACACTATCTCACAACCCAGGGCTTTCTGCCCCAGGACAGTTCTTTTCCTAAGGCTGGCTCGGAAAAATGGGGTTCTTCCTCCAAGGCCACGTTTAATTAAACTCAAGAGCTTTGCTGGAGCCCTTCTTTCATGGCAGGAAATCACAACGGTTCACTGAGAAGCTGCGCTCGTCGCCAAAGCCTTCTTGGCTTCCAGCAACCGGGAGTTTTCAGCTTGGGGCCAACACTTCTCAGTTGTGATCAGGCAACTCAAAGCAATGAGTGTTGTGCTGAAAGCATTTGCTTTCTGCTCAAGTTTGTGCCCAACTCTCTGCCCAAGTAAAGCTTTGACAGTAAATAGTTCCAGTGGGCCTGGAGGAGCACGGCTTTCCCCCACGCGGGACGATGTTTCACCTGCGTGGGAGCCTGGGCCGGGCTATTTGAAGTGGGATCTGGCTGGAAGGTGTGAAATTTGGTCAGATCAGGCAAAAAACTCAGCAGCAAGATGCTCCTGACCGGGCGTTGCTATTGCCCTGGGAGGTTTGTGCAAAAAGGCCCATCCCTCCCCGGAGGCGCAGAGAGCGCGGGGCGGGAAGGAGAGCCATTCCTTAGCAATCTGAACTGAAATGAACAGCACCGAAACGAAACATCCTAGAAATGAAACATCCTTGAAAGCAACAGCAGCCACCACAGAGGGCTTCGTTCCTGGTGGGGCAAGAAACTTCCCACTGCTCACGAGGGAAGGGAAACAACCGGGGAGCGGCGCACACCCCAATTGTCCCTTCTCATGCTGCATCCCCAAGCCCCAGGGAGAGTTGGGGCACCCACGGGGCTGACAGCAGGAGCCTGAGTTGACCCATGGGCCAGTGCTCCCAGCAGGGCCAAGTGGTGCAATCCCACCGCTTTGGTGCTCAACAGTTGGGTAGAGCAGCAAGAACCACATACCGTCGGGGGTAAGGCAGGGGGGGCAGCAAGAAAAACAAGTTCCCAGCAGAGTAGGCATGGTAACCCCCACCAGAGCCTCCCCTCACCCGCTCCACCATCCTCCCCATCTCCGGGCAGCTTCCGAGTGGGAATTTTGGGCTGCTTGCAGAGATTTGCCTCTCACATAGCTGGCAGGGGGGTGCCAGCGAATGGGTGGAAACAACAACATGCCTCTTCACGTCCCTGCCTCGTTCCCTCGGTCTTGCTGGAGAGAAGGGGAATGTCTGCCTTGAAGTTTGCTCCCCGGAGGAGCAGCCGGGCGAGGGCCCCACGGAATCCACCCCCCCCTTTCTTCTGCCATCTCCATGCTCTAGGTCATCTCACGGAAAGGTCAAACCAAACGTGCGCGGCGAGACAGCATCATGTCGTGCCCGGGGAGGTGCGTGCGGCGGAGGGACAGCAGGGAGGAGGGTGGAAGGGAAAGAGGAGGAAAAACAGGAATAAAAATAAAAATTAAATTAAAAAAACAAAAACAAAACAAACCAACCAAAAGCGCCCAAACATGAGAGAAGAGCAGGGAGAGCCCGTGGTGGGTCGGAGCCATGTCTTACCTGGCCATCCGCGCAGGGCCAGCAGCACCAGGCAGGTCAGGGACCAGGCGACACGGCCGGGCCTGGGGGGGGGCAGCGGCTCCATCCTCGGCGGGTTCTGGGGGGGGGGGGGACAAGCCGGGG